CTCCCACCCCGGCCTCCGCGCGTCCCGTCCACGGCGAACGGCACACGTCCCCCCGCACCCGCCGAGCACCGCGCCCAAGGAAACCGATAGTCAAGGCGTGCGCACCCCGTCCGTCTGTCCACCGGGCCCATCCGGCACAGCACCGTCCGCACCACGTCCCTCGCCGGCACCACCAGCGCACGCACGCATCCCATCGCAACACCAACTCCGCGCCACCTCGCCCCGCCGCACGCATCCCGACCCGGGACCGACCCGCCCGCGTCCCAAATCGCATCGCGCGCGGAAGTACACATACGCGCACGCGCACGCGCCAGTGGGATAAAAGCGGCACTAAGACGAGCCCCGAACGCGCAGCCCCCGTCCAAGCCAAAAAACCCCGGAAGAAAAAACCCCCCGGAAACGCTCGCAAGAAAACCGCAGAGAAGAACAGACAGCGCAAATCAACACACCTCGAATTCCCGCCCCCGCCCCCGCTCCCGAGCGCGGTCGCGGTCGCGGTCGGCGAGCTGCTGGTCGCGAGGTTCCCGCCGTTGCCCGAGGTGAAGGTGTATGTTTGTTGAGGGGGCGACGTCGTTGTCGTTGATAGGGAGGAGGAGGAAGAGGGAAGAAGAGAGGAGGGGAAGGAGGAGGAGGAGGAGAAGGGGGGATGGATATCGAGAGGGAGGAAGCGGATTGAGAGGCGGATTGGGACGCGGAGGCGGATTGAGAGGCCGATGCAGACGCGGATTGAGACTGGGACGCAGACGCGGATTGAGAGGCGGAGGCGGAGGCGGAGGCGGAGGCGGACTGCGACTGTGACTGAGAGGCAGAGGCGGAGGCGGAGGCGGAGGCGGATGCAGATGCCGATTGTGACGCAGAAGCAGACGCAGACGCCGATTGGGATTGGGACGCCGACTGCGACTGCGACTGAGAGGCAGATTGAGAGGCGGACTGCGACTGCGACTGCGACTGTGACTGGGATGCGGACGCAGATTGGGACGCGGACACGGATGCAGACACGGATTGGGACGCAGACACGGATTGGGATGCAGACACGGATGCAGAGGCCGAAGTTGATTGAGAGGCGGATCTGCGCAGAAAAGGTTAGCTATGAGCACGTCGCTGGAAGAGGGAGAGGCGTACGCTGACTGCGACTGTGACTGGGATTGAGAGGCCGAGGCTGACGCTGAGGAGGATTGGGAGGCGGAGGCGGAGGCGGATTGAGACGCAGAGACAGAGGCGGACTGCGACTGGGAGGCCGACGTAGATTGAGACGCGCTCGCCGACCCAGAGGCGCTCGTCGCACCAAGCTCGAGCTCCAGCCCGAGCTCCAGCCCCACATCCACGCTGCCGAGTGCTCCAAGGTCAGCCTCGAGGCCAGCGCCGACGCCGAGCTCCACACTCGCATTGTCGAGCGTCAGATCCACGTCCACGGCCACGTTCACGGCCTTGCGCATAACGCTGCATCGAGGACATGGTAAGCACGCATATATGCAGTCACCGAATAGCAATCGGCGTGCCGTACCTGCTGTCAAGCCTGTCGCCCCGTCTCGCCCGCCGATGGCTATTGGGAATCCGCTGGCCGCCCGGAGGCTTCAGCGCGCTCGAGGGGACATCGTGCGCCGCAGGTAAGGCGCCCGGAGCGTCTTTCGCGGTCTTGCGCCGCTCGATAATCCCCCGGTGGCGCCGCCAAAGGGCCGTCCCTCCTGAGTGCTGTTCTGGGGGCTTCATCTTCATGTGTAGACGATCTTCGGTCATTCGACGGCGTGGGGGGCATAAAATCGACGAAAAGGAGGAACAGGGGGTGCGGTAGGGACTGGGGGCGTGCGTGCGGGCGACTTGAAAGTGTAAAGGTAAAGGACAGTGGAGCGACTAGGAGCGCGGGATCCGCCGGGGATGGATGCTGAATGATTGGGTGGGGTTGTGGTGGTCGGCAAAGGAGCGGCGAGGACAGCACGCACGGAATCACGATTCAGGTCCGAACGGTCATGGCAGACAGGCCAGAGCCTCGTCTCAGTCTTTTTTCTCCGTCAGAATTATGTCAGCTCGCGCTCCAAATCAACTCACCATCTCTCCATTTCTCTTAGCAACCGTCAAGACCGGTCAAGCCGATGAAAGCCTGTGATTCATGAACTCAAGGGAGGGTTGACGGAATTCGAACCTATTCGAACAGCATCCAGGCTTGCTTCTCTATCAATTCACCGTCCCGCGCCTATCTGCCAGGCCCAATCAACAGTTGGAAACTATGTTGCCCGGGAAGGTCCGAAATCCAACCGAATCCTGCGCTCCGACGATTACACGCAAATTACACGTCTTCTGCGAGGTAATTTGGCAAGCCGAAAACCGCAGTACTCCACAAATTAAAAGTCACTACAGGTTCAGGGATATCTGAATCCGTTCCAGACTTCCAGTGAGTCAGTGATATTAAACTACCGAGTCCCCCACTTCGACAGCGACAGAGGCTGGCGGCCTGAACGCTCCTCAGGCGAGGTCAGCGATTGCACGTCTGTATCGGGTCTCCCCGCCTCACTCCCACACTCCCGCGACTAGTCATGTCCTACTCAGGAGTGGGTCCAGGTTTCATGTTATTTTAAAAAACACTAGTAGTATCAGATGCGTACGTATCGCCCGCCACCCCACGCGACCTCGATCAACCACGAATACAATATACAATGCTCCGCGCCATGGCCCCCTCGCCGCGTCTTCTCACTTCAACTGGAGCTACTCAATCTACGGGCTTCTTTCGTCTTCCCCCAACCCTGCGATCGTACACAAAAGAACCCGCGAGATAGAGATCACACATCCACGAAATAAATCGGCGTCTCTAGCCACCCGGGTGCAATATCCCTCCCCACGCGGCGCCTGTCTTCCCAAGTACCAGTCCGCTCGGACGCTCCGGCCTAAACCGCGACCTGCCCTTCTACTTCCACTGGGCGCCAATCCCCCCACTTCAAATCCCCCTCAGCTCACAGCCTAATTCTGTTGTGCAACGCATCGACGCCGGAATGCGGGGCGACCCGCCTATGAACAAAGGGGCTCACCGGTGCCTATATACAATAAGTTATAAATTTATACACATCCCAGGCATCGACCAGTTAAATCCCACTGGCACAGCACCCGGACGAGCAGGTAGGATCATCTGGAACACCCGCAGAACGTTAACTCGGTCGGCGTCGAAGCGGACCCACTCTAGTTGTTCTCCGCGTCCACACCCGACCCTCTCCCCCAAATTCGAAACCCGGTATCGTGCACTAAAGAACCCGCCAAGGTATCCACCAAATAAATCGGCGTTCTAGCCCTAGTACCGGGGGCACTATTCCTCCCCGCGCTGCGCCTCTCTTCTCGCTGTTCTCAGCGGCGCTCCGGAGTCCCCCCGCCTAAATCGCGACCTGCCCTTCTACCACCGCGCCCCAAATTCCAGTCCCGCCCGCTTCAAGACCCGCTATACATACTTATATTTATATTTATCCATACACGCTGGCACATCCCACTCGTCGCCCCGGCTAAATTCCCAAATCCCACACTCGATCCCCGCAGAACCTTGAACTGAAGCGAAAGGGACCATCTCCCGCGCCGGTTACCAGTGCGACGACATTCTTATAACCCCCGCCCGCGATGCCCAATACAGTACCCCCGCCCCGCCGGTGCGTCACTCGCGCGTCATTTTCCGGCGGTATTCTGCGGCAACGTAAGTATTCAAGTAATTTCTCACCACCAACTAAAGTATTTTCAGGATACGAAGGAGCACGGAGTGCTCGCAAGCCCCGTGGACCATGGCGGTCGTCTTTCAATACATGGTTCTCCATGTTCAGAGCAAGGAGGTTCGAATCCTCCCGGGGGCATATAGTTGTGCGAACAGCCTTTTTGACCCGATCTCAGCGACGCTCCCTTCCGGTGGTGTTTACGCGAGAGGAGAACAGACCGTATAGAATTCTCGCCGTTGAGAGCGAGGAGGACCCGAGATTCGCTGATAGTTGGGTTACCAGAGCCTTTTTAACCCTCTCATCCAGGCTAACTCCCAGCCGCCTTTACGATACAAGGGAGGGAAAGAGTGCTTTCAAGCCCCCGTGGACCATGGTGGTCGCCTCGATCAAATGATAGTGGCTGAAACATCGTGCGAGTCGGAGGAGGTTCGAATCCTCCCGGGGGCATGATTTGGTGCCGCGCGTCTGTTTTTCTTTCTGGACTGAACCGTGTTGAATTCTCTGGTTTCAGCCCCAGACGCATCTGAATTTACGTGTAAATGCTACGAGCCGAGGTGCTCAGCAAGTACCGAACCCGTTTTCGTCTGAGCTCGCTTGCAGCGTCACTTACACGGGAGCGGGACAGTGCTTTCAAGCCCCCGTGGAGCGTGGTGGTTGCCTCGACTCAATTACAGTTCTTTGCTTTGTGTTAACAGCGAGCAGGAGGTTCGAATCCTCCCGGGGGCATATTTGGGTGACCCTAGCCTTTTTGACTCATTCTCATCCAGGATAACGTCCAGCCGCACTTACAAGGACGGGAAACAGCGCTTGCAAGCCCGCGTGGACTACGGCGGTCACCTCGGCTCAATACCGGATTCTTGTAAAAATGAGAAGCGAGGAGGTGGAGGTTCGATTCCTCCCGGGGGCATAGTGGGGTGAACTGAGTTTTTGTTGACCCATTCTCAGCCAAGACACTGTCCAGCTTACTTGTGGTTGCCTGAATTCATAATAATCAGAATCATATATAATTATCTATGTTGACAGGGAGGAGGAGGAGGAATCCTCCCGGGGGCATGATTGGGTACCAGTGAACGTTTTTGACCGTTCCTGATCCAACCAAACCTCCAGCCTACTTACAAGGCAAAAAAGAGTACTTGAACGCCCCGTGGACCATGGTGGTCGCTTTGGTTTAATACATAATTGTCTATGTTGACAGCGAGGAGGATGAGATTCGATTCCTTCCGGGGGCATAGTTGGGTGACCAGAGCTTTTTTTGACCCGTTCTCATCCAAGCTAACTTCCAGCCGACTTACAGACAAGGATAAACAGTGTTCGAAAGCCCCTGTGGATCACAGTGGTCGTCTCGGTTCAATCTCAGTTCAATGAAGAATTCTTTGTGTTGACAGCGAGAAGGCGGAGGTTCCAATCCTCCCGGGGGCATAGCAGTTGGGCGACCAGCTTTTTTGACCGAGTCTCAGCCAATATAACCATCAACGACACTTACAAAGGACAGATACAGTGCCAAACCCTCGTGAACCGTGGTGGTCGTCTTGGTTCGCTGTGACCAAGTATTTGTATTCATGCAACGAGAAGGAGGGGTTCAATTTCTCCGGGAGGCATGGTTGAGTAAGAAGACCTTTTTGAGCCATTCACAGCCGGACTAACGTCCAGCCTCCTTACACGGGAGCGGGACAGTGCTTTCAAGCCCCGTGGACTCTGGTGGTCGCCTCGATTCAATATAGAATTTTCGCAGCTCACAGCGAGGAGGTTCGAATCCTCCCGGGGGCATATTTCGATGGCGAGAGCTTTTTGACTCATTCACATCCAGGATAACTCCCAGCCGCGTTTAAAAGGGAGAGAAATAGTGCTTTCAATCCCCCGTGGACCGTGGTGGTCGCCTCGACTCAATTTTGATGATTGCAGCAACCTTAAATCGGAGCGAGGAGGATAAGGGCTGGCAACGGCGTCACGTTTCAGGCACTTTGAACAACAGGAACTGCAGAATTCGAACGGACCATATCTATCCATCCTCCCAGTGTCTATCTGCCAGCTGGACTAGGATTACACCGGCTCGTAAAACATGTTGCGCCAGCAGGGCCGTTCCAAAGTACAACCCCACGATTATATATACGCCGGACATTGATCCGCTTGAAGTTAGAGCAATGATATCCGTTCTAGAAATTCAGCGAGTTTTCCTCAGGGTAGACATTTCCAAGCTCAGCCTCACTCAGTGGACCGAACACTCCAGAATCCACCTTAATTCCCCGTCTGGCATTATCCCGGTTCAAACCCAGCCGCCAATTTCCTCCGGCCTATTCATGTTCGAGTTATGTGTATTTTCCACAACGATTCAGCGGATAGCCATTTGGCCGGCGTCCAGAGAGCGGTAATGACCGCCAACAGATGGGTGCCGACACTAACTGTGCTTCGCACTCAACCCCGCCCCTGCGGCAGGTTCTCAAAATGGAAGGGGCAAGTATATTGCTCTCTCAAGTCAATTGGGCCACATATTAATAACTAGGAATCTCAATACACAACCACATCCGTGGCGGACACCCACCAAGAAGCGACCATCTCCCATCGTTACCAGGAAGAGCGTCCTATTACGCACCCCTCGCATCACCGTCGTCCCCCGCGGTATTAACTTTGTCTGTATCCCCTCGGAAACAAGCGCGCTTTCAGAGAGTGTGTCCAGAACGGGTGCACATTTTCCAACGTAAGTAAGCAGCTCACAGTTTTCAGCCGGGTTTACAAGGCCGCAGAAAAGTGCTTACAGACCCCCGTGGACCGTGGCGGTCGCCTTGGTCCCATCGATTTTTCCCCTGCGAGTTTCGTATGACAGTATTTATCACCGAATATTACGTGTATGTTGTACAATACATCGTAGACGTTCAATCTGAATTAAAATGTACAACGTGAACCGTCCAAGCACCATAATTCGTACGGCATGAACCATGCACGTGCACCAAATCTTACTTGATGGTTTGTACTCTCTGATCCTGCTCTCTGTACTTGTTCGTTCATGTTCATAGATCGTCCTGATCTTAATGTGGTTCCCGTGCTTGCTTTAGCCGAGTACCGAGGTCGTGCTGGTTTTGCCAAAGCAGTGATATCCCGAGAGGGTGACGGAACACACTGCGAGACTAATTTGGCGGTACCCGCGGCCGGGGTCCGAGAGTCCAGTATATCCCAAGTTGACAGGAGACCACTCCTGGTATACTGGTTCTCGTGTGGGATGATGGTCCATCACATGGGATGGCTCGGAAGAGCTCGGAAGGATCCGCCCGAAATTTGTTCTGGGTAAAAGCAGGTTGTACAATGCACGATGTACGAAATATGATGTGGTGCGCGGGCATGTTCAACGAACTACGTATACACACAAACTGTGTCCACCTGGTACGGAAATGAGCAGGAATTGACAGTACGACGCACGAATCTATGCATGAAACACAACCACAGAGTACAGCACCATGTAGAATGAACCTCGGTCAAGAATGTACATAATTTTCTGTGAAAACTGCTTTTATAGTTTCGACAGTCGAGGAGGAGGAGGAAGAGGTTCGGTCGGGGGGAATGAACTTGCTAGAGCTTTTTGACCTTCAGGTTCGCGTACATACGGAGTGTTGTCAGGTAGGGAACCGAAGGCCTTAAGGACTACGCAAACTATTCGTTCTCGCACTTCCAGCCGAGTTGTAAAATGAGAGCCGCAGTCTCCAAAGCCAAAGTGTCCTCAGTAAACGCCGCAACCCATTTCGTTCTGTCATCGAGGCTAACTTCCGACGTTTGGGCGAGATAAAAATTCTTTGAAAGCCCTCGTGGACCGTGGTGGTCGCCTCGATTCAATTCATTTCGAGCGTGGCGTTGACGCGAGCAGGAGGAGGTTCGATTCCTCCCGGGGGCATCACTTTGAGGGCACGGTCCTTTTTCTCGCTGTAATCACAACAGGGCAGACTGGAGCTGGTAAAACCACCTTTAACGCCGACGAAAGAAACTACGAATAACTCCCTCGACCCTCAACCCTCGCAACCCAGCATACCCCGTGCGTGATTCCGTTCGCTGCATTGTTCCATATTCATGGCTGAATTGACCGCGGCGACAGCATTTCGCTCGTTGCAGGGCCGAAATCAGGTGCCTTTAATAACGAACCTTTCCTCCCTCAACATCAACTTCAACCGTGCGAACACAAGTCACGCCGGGTCACGCCCATATTTTCACTCGACTTTTTAGAAAAAGGAATAGAATATACTGTTAGAGGAATTCAGAGTGTAATAAAGGCCAAAGACGTCGATACCAGTGTTGCAAGTAGAAGTCTGCTGGTGTTAGCTTCCGGATCAAGCTGCAACGTGACGGTGACATACCACGTGCCGTTCCACTTTCAAGTTCCTCACTTGCATCTTCCCTCCACTGGAGCATCCTCTGTACAGAAATTTATCGACGCTGGTAAATCCTCTGGACAAACTATCTCCTCGCCCAAGCCAATCGCGCGAGTCCTATGGCTGCATCAACACCGGCGAGCCCACAACCAGTCGAGGGACTCGGAGCAGACACGAAGCCGACGCTCGCTGAGCCCGGCGAGTTCCTTGGCCTCCCAGCGTCCGAATCATGCACCTCGTCCATATCCCAATATCACTCGGCGCTCGCCAGCCCTTGTTCTTCCTGCGAGGCCCCCAATCCGCCGCGAGAAGGCGGAGACCTCATCTCGTTCTCCTCGGGTGCGTGCGCTGAATCCTCTCTCCATTCACGAACTAACGAGCTCGCAGGCAATCTCGCCGTCCTCGCCGCCTCTTCATCGCCTCCCGCCGCCCCCCTCTCTTCCTCTCCGCCTCTTCCATCTCTCGGCATCGCACCGATCGAGCCATCGACCCCCGAATTCTCCTCGAACCGGCGCAGAAAGATTCGTCCCAAGCCCGCACACATTCCCGTACCAGACGGTGAAAAGACGTCGAACGTATACATCAACGGCCTGCCGCCGTATTTCCGCGAGGATCAGCTGCTCGCGATCACGGCACCGTTCGGCGAGGTGCTGAGCGTGCGGTGCTTCACGCGCCATACCGTGCGGTCGGCCTCGGGTTATGGATTCGTCCTGTGCGTCGAACTCCCTTTCGCATGAAGCGGCGAGCACACCACCAACGCTGATGAGCTCCACAGATTCAGCTCGCTCGCGGCCGCGGAGAAGTGCATCGTGACTCTGAAACGCAGCGACCTGCACCCGTCCTTTTCGAAGGTATGGAAATCAATCCGTCCGTTCTCCAAAAATTAATCATCACTGCACCAGGTTAATAAACCCCCGCGCGTCGTATGCTCCCCGAACTCTCCGACGCTCCCTGCGCAAGCCTCCTCTTCCTCTCTCGCTTCAAGTTGCGACCTGGATCCCGAGAGCCCAAGCGCAGAGCTGAGCTTCAAGGCCAAGATGGCGCAGCTAGAGGACAAGTGGAGCACGAATCTCTATATCGAGGGGTGCGTATCTTCTTCGCCTTTCTCTCCTTTCCCTTCCTCCTGGCCCAACTTATGATTTATAATGCGTTGTGTAGACTTCCTATCAGCGCGGACAAGAACGTTAGTCTTCTCATGAGGTTTTATGAGAGAAATAGACGCTGACGTGCGAGGTAGACCCTGATGGAGCTCGTCCATCCACACGTCATTCACAGCAGCCGCTTCTTGCGCAGCAAGGTCCCCGGGTCGCAGACAAATATCGCGTTCATGCGGTGCGCTTCCTTCCTCCCTCCACATCCCCAATATCCCTCCGTTTCCCTCCTTCCCTCTCTTCATCTCCCCCTTCGCTCAATTGCTAAGTTAACTTGCGTGTACGTGTAGGATGGACACGCGCGTCGCGGCGGAGGACGTGATACTGCGGCTGGACGGGAAGCGGATACGCGGGTGGGACGGCGCGGAGGAGAGGGTGGGTGTGAGGTTCGCGGATACGCTTGATCAGAGGGAGTTGAGGGTGCGTCTCACTCGTTTGCCTTCATTAAAATCCAGTGTTGAATACGCGTCGTTGTAGCGCGCGGAGGCCCCAACGGAAGATTCGGGGCGGCTAAGCATCGCGCAGGCGACGCTGCTGAACTATCGGGGGCTGGAGCTTGGCGTGGGCGAGGCGATCTCCGAGGCACAGTTCCATTCCAATGCGGGCCCGACGGCGCTCCAGACGCAGTTTCCTCCGTTTATGAACGCGAATCCAAACCCGAGCGCGCTGGGGCTTATGAATCCGAACGCGCCGCCATTTATGACGAACTTCAACCCGAACCCCAACCCGCAACAATTTATGAACCCCAACCCGAATCCGAATCCGAGCCTCAACCCCAACGCACGAGCAGAGGTGCCGCTGGCGCTGCCCCACCCGTTGGCGGCGCGTGTGCACGAGCTGCTGACGTTCGACGCGGGGCGCGCGCTACACTTGCACCAGAATACGCCGCTGAATGCGGGCGGCGTTGGTTCGATGC